AGGGCGCTGCCCGTTCCCCAGGCGGGCAGGAGGGCCCAGGGTAGGACGGAGGCGAGCTGGGACCGGCTCGGCCACGCTGAGGTAAAATGGCTGCCCTGAGGGCACAGGGAGCTGCATCCAGGCCTGGGTCAGCCGCTCGGCCGTGCGAGCATCCTGCTTACGTGTATCCCCTTCAGCAGAGCATTAAAGTTAAGTTATAGGGCTGTTCTTGAAGTGGTTTTTTTCCCCCCAACCACTGTACTTTCCCATTTCTGAACACTGTGTCATGGTTCTTAGGCGCCCTTAGATCAGACTAATCTCACGGTCTGCTCCGGCAGGACGCTCAAATCTACTTTGCAGGCTGAGCGTGATGACTTTGGACAGAATAAACCTTAAGAACGTTCTTGATTTTGTTCTGTGTCTACGTAAGTTGATAAAAGCGAAGAAACAAAAAAGCATCTTGAGATGGAGGCGCAGTCCCATCTCACGCGGATGCATTTATGAAAACATCTCCTGAGGGCTATGCGGTGCCTCTTTGGGGGTTTAATGCAGAGTTACACAAGAAATGCCTACAAAAGAGGGCAGAAAAGTATTTCCCGGGCAAGAAACGAGAAAATAATGCACAACTGTGTTACGTTTATGAGATGTTAATTTAAATAAAGCCACTTCAAGACACCGGTGTGGTAGTCTAGTTTGTCACAAGGCCCTAACAAGATGCGTTAAGGCAGAAAATGCAGCTTTGCATAGGCAAACTGTGTCGGTGTGCCGCAAAACTGCAGCGCCCGGCAGCTCTCCCCCGCTGCGCCCCACCTGCCCTAACCTGACGACTCCGCTGCTTGGAGTTCGGGTCGCAAATGGCTTCTGAAGTGAGGATTTTTTGTACGAGCTGCGAGATAATCGCAGGTGGGTTTATGTCTAAAAATGTTGGAAGTACTTGTGCGGTCTGGATGCCTCTCGTTTGTCCCTTGGTATCTTTCCTATCGGCACAAGCGAGTCCACGTGGTGCTGGAAAGGTTGAGTCACCGTAACCACCGTGATGGGGTTAAAGTAGTGTCTGGCTGTGTAGAAAAACCCTTTAGGCTCCTAAGTTAATTAAGGGATTTTGAAAAATGTGTCATGCCCCTTTAGTGGAGTCTGTCATGCATACTTCATTTTTCATGCGTTAATTAAAAATACATATTCCTCTAGAAAAACAGCAATCCCCATGACTTACAGTTAGAAAAATATTTTCAGTATAACGTCATAACATGCTTGACTGTTACAAATGCCTTTCATTTTTCTCTCGCGTAGGTTCAAGTACAGTAATGTCCTCTGGTGATTTTTAACATCGGTAATATCTACGGTAGATTGCTCATGGGTTAAATAAAGACCGCTATTAATCACTGAAAGCTGTTAGGAGAAAGCCCATCTTCAGAAGCGGTGGTTTGCAGAGGATAAACTGCCGGGTATCCAGGGATTCTCCACGTGTTTAGAAGAGCGTTACGGTTTCACAATCCCGTTTGTAGTGGAACACGAACTGGTGAGACGGTGCCTGCAGTGCCCCTGCGGTTCCAGCGTTCGTCTACGTGACTTCAGTGAGTGCTTGTGGGTAAATACATTTTTTCAACCAGCACAGTTGAAGCTTATTCAGTTATTTGCCAGCTCAGTAGAAATACTTGTTGCATATTAAAAAAAAAAAATAGGGGAACTCCCCTCCCCACACTAAAACCAAGCCTCAAGGACCCCGCAT